AATACTAGCAAATCAAATCCAAGAACACATCAGAACCATCATCCACCATGATCAAGTCAGCTTCATCCCAGAGATGCAGGGATGGTTCAACATACAAAAATCTGTCAACAAATTGACAAAAAAAAATGAAAATAAAAACCATATGATCATCTCATTAGATGCTGAAAAAGCTTTTGACAAAATACAACATCCATTTATGATAAAGATCTTGGAGAGAGCAGGGATACAAGGAACATACCTAAACATAATAAAGGCAATATACAGGAAGCCAACAGCCAACATCAAACTAAATGGAGAGAAACTCCCAGCGATTCCACTGAAATCAGGAACAAGACAAGGTTGTCCACCCTCTCCATATCTATTCAATATAGTTCTTGAGGTCCTAGCTAGAGCAATAAGACACCAACAGGACATAAAGGGGATACAAATCAGAAAAGAAGAAGTCAAACTCTCACTGTTTGCTGATGGTATGATAGTTTACATAAGCAGCCCCAAAAACTCTACCAAGGAACTTCTACAGCCCATAAACACTTCACTTTCAGTAAAGTAGCAGGATACAAGATTAACTCAAAAAAAAAAAATCAGTAGCCCTCCTGTCCACAGACAATGAAAAGGCTGGGGAAGAAATCAGAGAAACATCACCTTCACAATAGCCACACATAGCATAAAATATCTTGGAGTAACTCTAACCAAACAAGTGGAAGATTTGTATGACAAGAACTTTAAATCTTTGAAGAAAGAAATTAAAGAAGACACCAGAAAGTGGAAAGATCTCCCATGCTCTTTGGTAGGTAGAATTAACATAGTGAAAATGACAATCTTACCAAAAGCAATCTATAGGTTCAATGCAATGCCCATCAAAATTCCAGAAAAATTCTTCACAGACCTCAAATAAATGGTACTCAACTTCATATGGAAAAGCAAAAAAAAAAAAAAAAAATCAAGGATAACCAAAACAATCCTGTACAATAAAAGAATGTCTGGAGGCATCACAATCCCTGACTTCAATCTCTACCATAGAGCTACATTACTGAAAACAGCCTGGTATTGGCATAAGAACAGACAGGAGGACCAATGGAACTGAATAGAAGACCCGGATATCAATCCACACATCTTGGAACACCTGATTTTTGACAAAGAAGCAAAAATATCAAATAAAAAAAAGAAAGCATATTTAAGAAATGGTGCTGGCATAACTGGATATCAACATGTAGAAGAATAAAAATAGACCCATATCTATCACCATGCACAAAACTCAAGTCCAATTGGATCAAAGGCCTCAACATAAAGCCAGCCACACTGAACCTTACAGAGAGAAAGTGGGAAGTACACCTGAACGCATTGGCACAGGAGACCATTTCCTAAATATAACCCCAGCAGCACAGACACTGAGAGAAACAATTAATAAATGGAACCTCATGAAACTGAAAAGCTTCTGTAAAGCAAAGGACATAGTCAACAAGACAACATGGCAGCCTACAGAATGGGAAAAGATCTTCACTAACTCCACATCAGGCAGATGTCTCACCTCCAAAATATACAAAGAACTCAAGAAATTGGTCATCAAAAGAACAAATAATCTAATAAAAAAAATGGAGTACAGACCTAAACAGAGAACTCTCAACAGAGGAATCTAAAATGGCTGAAAGACACTTAAGGAAATGTTCAACATCCTGAGTCATCAGAGAAATGCAAATCAAAACAACTCTGAGATTCCATCTTACACCTGTAAGAATGGCCAAGATCAAAAACACTGATGACAGCTTGTGCTGGAGAGGTTGTGGGGAAAAAGGAACACTTCTGCATTGCTGATGGGAGTGCAAGCTGGTACAACCCCTTTGGATGTCAGTGTGGCGATTTCTCAGAAAATTAGGAAACAACCCTTCCTCAGGACCCAGTAATACCACTTTTGGGTATATATCCAAAAGATGTTCAATCGTGCCACAAAGAGATGTGCTCAACTATGTTCATAGCAGCTTTGTTTGTCACAGTGAGAATCTGGAAACACCTAAATGCCCCTTGACGGAAGAATGGATAAGGAAAATATGGTACATTTACACAATGAAGTACTACACAGCAGAAAAAAATAACGACAGCTTGAATTTTTCAGGAAAATGGATGGAGCTAGAAAACATTATTTTGAGTGAGGTAACCCAGACACAGAAAGACAATTATCACATGTACTCACTCATAAGTGGTTTTTAAACATAAAGCAAAGAAAACCAGCTTACAAATCACAATCCCAGAGAGCCAAGACAACAATGAGGACCCTAAGAGAGACATACATAGATATAATCTACATGGGAAGTAGAAAAAGACAAGATCTCCTGAGCAAATTGGGACATGGGGACCTTGGGGGAGGGTTGAAAGGGAGAGGAAAGACAGGGAGCAAAGAAAAATGTGGAACTCAATAAAAATCAATTAAAAAAATATGTTGGAAGTAAATAAGATCATTTGAATGGTGATAACTACATGGAAACAGAATAAAGTAGACTTAGGAATGGGGTATTTGGTAGGTATCAGAAGAGCAATGCTTGGTCAATTCAGAGAAATTAACATCTGAGCTAGGACCTGGACTGCAGGGAGAAGCCAGGCACATGATGACCTGGCAGCTTAAGTTTTCAAGCAAGGACAACCCATGTGCTCTTACGGTGAAAGCATAATGGGCACCCTAAAGATGTATACGGATAACTGGGAAGTGGGACAGCTCAGCAGGTCAAGGCAACTGCTATGAGTTTTCTCTTCATACCTGTACCTTCGATTCAACTCCAAACACTGCAGTATCTGGAGTTCTTCCACCACCACAGAGCTGGACGTCTTAGTTCTCTGGACCGACTTACAATGGAGACTCAAGCGTACTCATACTTTTGATAATAGATGCCTATGTAGAGTGCTTTCACCATAATATTTGAAATTAAATTGAAGGATTAATAGCTGATACAATTTTAGGGGCCTGCTGTAAAATTAAACTATTACTCAATAGTAATAAAATACAATTAGAAATATCAACATAGATGTTTAATGTGAGTTCAATATGCTAAGAAGATTAAATAAACATCTCAATTTTTATTTGGAAGTGGATCAATGTCAATATGAGAAAATTTTACACTGACAAACATTTTGAAAAGAATCATTAGGGAGGTACTGTAAGCACTGTGACAGTTTGAATGAGAATGGTCACAGGCTCATCTCTGTGACTGCTGGTCCCAGCTGGTGGAACTGTTTTGGGAGGGGTTAGGAGGTGTGGCCTTGCTGGGGCCAGTTCATCACTGAGGGTGGAGTTCCACTGCCTGTGAATAAGATATAAGTTCCAGCATTTTGCATGCCTGCTGCCACATTCCTTACTCTGATGATCATGGACTCAACCCCTGAAACTGTAAACAAGTCCCCAATTAAATGCTTCCTTTTGTAAATTGCTTTGGTCATAGTGTCTCTTCACAGCAACTACAACACACATAAAGAGCAAACTAGAATAAACAAAGTGAAGCTCCAGTACTTGGTAGCTATGTGTCGTGATTAAACATGTTAACACCTCTGAACTTAAAATGGAAACCCAACCTGTCAACATGAAATGTGTGTCAGTGGGTAGCTTAGCCAGTATGGTGCTAATGTTAGTACCACAAAGTACTCAAAAGCCAAAATAAACAGGAGAGAAACTAGCTTGAATCACCCATTCTTTCCCCTCTAGTCCCAATTACATGTATCATACACAGCCCCAACCAGCCTGACATTTAGGGTCAGAAAACTAAGCCCATTAAGAAGCGTCACTGCCTTGACTACTAAGAGATAGAGACACTCTCCTAGTGATGAAGATATAAAATGTCTTCATACATTAGTAAGTGATCTTTACGATACAGAACTGCCAGCTGAGAACCAGTACTCTACACAGAGAGTTAAAATCTAGAAATAGCATCTACCAGGATAGACAAAACAAGTAATTCGCCTCTCAGACTAATGAGGATGTGACAAGCAAAGCAGGGGGCAGTGACGGGGCTATTCCATGTAAGGAACCTGTTTTCTTTTTCTCCTTCTCCTTGAGACAAGGTCTCTCTGTGTTCCAGCTATCTTGGAACTCAAATGTAGAGTTTGAAGCTGGACTCAAGCTCACAGAAATCCTTCTGCCCTGCCTCCTCAGTGCTGGGATTACAGGTGTACAAAACTATGCCTGGCCAAAAGACTGTTTTCTTTCTGAAGAGTCACCACTGTTGTAGAGTTTTGTGGTCAAGGACAGAGGCATTAGAGTTTATCTTGATCTAAATATAGGTTTGAGGTACTTTTGTTCGAGCTCTGGGTTCCTCTGCATTGTACTCTGACATTCTGATAGAATAGGAGGTGTGCTTAGCACAGCGTCTGTGCACAGCAAGCATTGGATAAGCAGTGCTGAGTCTTCTTATCAACTGGTTCTCCATCTACTCCCTGGCTCCCAGGCTCCTCTTCATAAGCCTCTGCAGACTCCTCACTTTATGAACTTTCCGTTTCCCTTCTTGAGACAGCTAGCTTAAACAGGCAAAGGCAACTTAGCAATACATTTTGAAAAATCTTTTCACATTTGACTCCCAGCAACACAGGATGTATGTATGTCAACTAGAATCAGGAAGTATGTTAGCTATGCAGGAAAAAGCTGACAAATTTGCTTAAGGCTGACGAAAGGGAAAAGGCATTAACTTCTGTTCTGCTAGGGCACAAGGAATGCCAGATTTCAAACAGTAGCTTGGCACACAAAACACCAGCAGGTCCCTACACTAAATGAAATCCATTTGAGATATTTTCCCTTAAGTTTAGGATAACTAAAGCATAAATTTCCAAATTACTGTGCTAACAACACTTTCTAAATGGCCATCAAGGATTACAAAGCACCTAAAGGAAGTCATCAAGGAATGTCTACAATACTGGACATTAGGCATGAATCAGAGGTACTAGGAAAAAGAAAAAAAAGGAAAACGAAAGCTTAAAAAGTCACTATGATGGGAAAGAACCAGTAAATGTTTTACTCAGCTCACCTGTAGTTTTTGAGTCAGAGAGTCCCTCTGTTCTTGGAGTTCTCTGGCATTATCGATTTCTTGTTTCAATCTTTCTATTTCCTGGAAAAGGTAAAGTAATGTCTTTAACAACATTTAACTTATAATAAGGAGAGAGAAGAACAAATTTTCCTCTGAAACTATTTCCTAGTTCTGAGGAAACAGTAATTAAAAACATCCTTTATTGACTTTCAGAGGGATATGTGTCCTGTAGAGGCCTGCTCCCTGGAAGAGTCAGGTTTCCTTCTTTCTTTCCTGGAGGTGAGGCAGGGTCTTTTACTCCATTCCTTTAACTCACTATATAGCAAAGTTGGCTTCGACATAGGATCTTCCTGCCTCAGCCCTTAGTCCTGGAACTACAGGCACAATGGCATATGCCAATTCAGAATGATTTCTATCAACAAGTATAATCTGATGGTTTTAGCATAGCACTAAATAGCTTCAAGTTTGAGATACAGTTCTTCCCTTGGTATATGAAATAGCTCTTTTTGACTAAAAATCAAAGAAAGCAACAACTTGCAAAAATTCATTTAATCTCTAATGGTTTCTATTGCTTATATAAATACAACTCTCAAAAAAAGGCAGCCATAGTCCAACAAAGTTAATAATAACAGAAACATGAGAGGGAAAACATGAACAAGCTTTATAATATTCAATAAAAGTTTCATCTTTAAAGCAGAAGCCCACAGTCTCACTTTACCACAGACAGTACTTCATACCTCACAGTCTCCTATGCTGTACACAATGCTATCTGGATCGTAGAGAGTTGTGGAGTGGGGCCTACCTCCTCCTTCTCTTTCAGTGTCTCCTCCAGTTCTTGTACTGTCTGATTTAGCTCAGCCTTGTGGGTGTGCACAGCATTTGCTTGACTACTAACACACTCAAGCTCAGTGACCTGCAATTAAATCAGAACACAGGTTAAATTAAGTGGCAATTTCAAGGAGTTTCTTGAAGTCATAGTAAGCCCCTGAGAAGTTAATGAATTTTGTATTACTATAAGAAAGGTTATTAAGATTCTTAGCATAAAATAAATTCTTTAAATATAACTATTTTAGTCAATGGCAAAAAACCAAAGGATTACTAGATAGTAAGAAGGGGGACAATGAATTTTCAAATGTTGGTCAGAGTCAGGTTATGGAAAACAAGTGATTGATTAATCACTATAAAGAATTCCTATAAGGAAAGTTCCTTCAAATTCATACAGGTATACCTAATGACTGTCTGCTTCCCCCATTTGTAGCCTTCAGGTAAATATGGGTTCTGAAAACTGACCTTCCATAAGTAAGGATTCCCCCCAACAAATACGAGAAAATCTGAAATGAAAGATATGCTTAAGAACACCTTAAAAACTGAGATATTACAATGACTTCATGTCAACTGTGCTTCTTATGGGAAAGACAATAGTTTCTCAGTCACTAAGAATTTACCAAGAGCCAACAAGTAATATTATTTTTTAATGAGTGCTTGACACCTTTTAAAGATAATGGGAAAGTTCAGTGTCCTTAAAAGTTATCCACCCCAGTTAATACAAGAAGAAATCATGCAAACATTTACAGACACCCTACCACAACTTTTCATACGCCACACTCTCAAAGTCCTGCTGACTAAGTAAGGATAAAGCAAACTTGCTTGAACTTTCAATAGCAAATCACCCTCTATTCTGCAAGTGTTTCTTTCATACCCTAGCTTCGTTTCTACTTAGGTACTAAAATGCTTCTTTACACAGACCTTTATTATTTAGGTCTGCACAATGCAATACTCCTACAGAGAATTTAATCACAACTGTGGTCTCTCTTACGTATTTTGGAACCGCTAACAAATGAGTCTTTCATTGTATAATGCTCAAAGTTTTCCAATTGTTTTTTATAATATTAAATTCTTTTCTTCTTTTCACTAATGAGGATGAATCCAGGGCCTCTCACATGTGAAGCAAGCACTGTACCACTGGGCTGCAACCCCAGACCACACTGGTAAATTCAATCCTGGTGTCTTTCAGTCACTGGCTGCAATCTATATAAATCATATATGTGGCTAAGATGTACACGTCTAACTGTAACCTAAGAATAAATGGTGTTCATGTCCAGCTTTTTTTTTTTGGTTTTCTTGACTGAACTAGAATGCCCCTCTGAAGATCATTCTGACCTTAACAGGTAGCAAACTCAGCACCTATCTTCTGAAAGCTGATCCCCTCTGCTGGGACCCTCAAAGCTCTCTTCTCCATTGTTCATGATGTGGAGCATCTAATAAAAACTACTGGGAATGGGCTGGAGAGATAGCTCAGCAGGAAAAGCAAGTACCACACAAATATGACAATCTGAGTTCAGTTCCCAAAACCTCAACATAGGAGTCCTGGCACACATTCCCCCACAATCACATGCACATGCTCTTGCACATGCACATATACACATTCAAACTCTTCAGAGTCATTGTTTAATGTGCACCAGTTGTCTTTGTTTGATTAACTAAAATTGTTCTAAAGGGAATTTGAGTGTTGGTAACAATACAACAGCTTAATTGGACCACTTTCTCGCAGATCAAAAAACAAAAAATAGCCTGTGGCAAAATGAACAAAAAATAACAAACAAAAACAAAACCCCAAAACAACCAACTATAGAAAAACAGTCACTAGTCGGGCGGTGGTGGTGCATGCCTTTAATCCCAGCACTGGGGAGGTGGATCTCTGTGAATTCGAGGCCACCCTGGTCTATAAGAGCTAGTTCCAGGACTGGCTTCATATCAACACAAAGAAACCCTGTCTTGAAAAACCAAAAAAGAAACGAAGGAAGGAAGGAAGGAAGGAAGGAAGGAAGGAAGGAAGGAAGGAAGACGAGGAAAATCAGTCACATTAGGTGTCAATGAGTCACACATCGTTGTCTAAAGGTACCTGCTGATATAGTTGGACAGCTTGATGGATTCAAGTTGAAACATTTAGCATTATTTTCCTGAGGAGTTCAAGAACTTTTAGATTCCTCAGAATAGATGGAAGAGCTAGAAACTTGGATAATTAAATGAAAGGCAAACAGACCTCCCACAGGTCTTTAGTGGACTCCACAGCTAAGTGTACACATTTAAACTGTCAGGGAATATAGGGTGGGGGACTGGGAGTAGGTGAGCTGTGGTGGTATTGGCCATAGAGTAGACATTGTGAAATCTTTTCAGATGAACAAGACTGTGAAAACACTTCAAGCTTTCCAGTGACACCTCAAGAGGGTTACTTCTTAGGGAAAAGGGCTGCCTGGGACTAAACTAAGTGATTTTTCTCAAGGATAAGTGAAAATTGAAATAAGCTAATCTACCAGTATATAAATTCAAGAGATTTATTGCCTGTTGCTGCTGCTAATAATAGACATATAATAATAATAATAATAATAATAATAAATTGTAGACAGAAGTTTCTGTCTCACCTGGTTCAGTTCCAAAGAAACACACAGGGGTTTACATTAATTATAAACTGTTGGGCCTATTACTAATTATTAACAAGGTCTTACAACTTAAATTAACCCATAATTCTTATCTATGTTTAGCCACATGGCTTGGTGCCTGTTCTCTGTGAGGTATTCTCATCTTGCTTCCTCTGCATCTGGCTGGTGACTGGGTCTCTGCCTTTCCTCTTCCCAGAATTCTCTTAGTCTGGTTGTCCCACCTATACTTCCTGCCTGGCTACTGGCCAATCAGCATTTTACTAAACCAATACAAGTGACAAATCTTTACAGTGTACAAAAGCATTATCCCACAGAAAATAATGATCACTCTTCAAAGGAACTAGAAGACTTTACAAAATCTCACTTATAATGTCCAATATGTATCTAAACGTGACCATGAATGTAGAAGACAGAAAATGGAACCAGTAGTCAGATAAAGCAGAGCTAACTTGTTGCTAGCATACCCACAGCATAAACAATCCTAAAGGAACCAGATTACACAGTAAGAGAACATGCTAGATTGTCAATGGATATTTAACACCAGTGATTTGTCATAAGTTAAGTTTCTATTGTGATGAAAAAAATAAAAATTATCTTACTAATAATTAAGTATATTCATATACTATAAATGAAGCTCCACAATTTTTCACCTTGCAAATTGAAAGTTAACTTTTATATACAGGAGAGGATAGTAATTGTTCTGTCCTAACCTTGTCCCCCTTTCTCTTCCTTTCCTATTTACAGCTTTGCCATTTTGGCACACAGCTAATTGGCACAGTTGAAACTACAATCAGCTCATTTGTTTTCAAAAGCTATACAGTCTTCATTGCCATGCAACTGTGAGAAACTTTTTCTTTTTTTTGAGCCAGTAAAATAAGAAACTTAGCTCATATATATTCCCGACAACTAAAGAATATCCCTAGAAGATTCCCATGTGCTCTATCTCCATATGAATTTCCCTTCCCCACAGAAACCTTTATTCCCAGTGCTGGCACAGCCCTGTCCTTACCCGCTTGTGCAGCCGCTCTGCTTCTTCCTGATAGGCGGCAAGTTGCTGCTTCCATTGTTTCACGTTGGCAGTGGACTCCAGCAGGGCTGCAGTGAGTTTGGCATTATTTCCTTTGAGAGTAGCTAGTTCAGCCTCCCAGTGTTTGCTGATTGCTGAACTAAAACAAAATAAGGAGAAAATTTTATCATTTCACTGAGTATTGTTTCTGAATGGACAACAACATTTAATTCTATTATCAGACATATAGTCTAAAAATGTTTTCAAAGACAACCCAAACAATAAAAACAAAAAAGTATGTTTAGAATGGAATACTTGTTTCAGGCAAGTGTGATAAACATATATATTAATATATATTATGTATATATAATATACCCAGTCAAAAGTAATAATAATACAGTATATTGTTTAAGGACACCAAAGTCTACTACAGTTTCATTCCTCAGTGGGAAATATGAGGATGCTTACATGACAGTAAGGTTGTGTAATGGATGATGTAGTATTTTTAATTATCATTTTTATCTTTATATTCAGAATTTTCAGATGCTCCAAAATAAATATTTATTATAGTAACTATAATAAAATGATTTTATATGATATGCTAGATTAAGAAATTGATTCTAATAATAACTTCTATTACAAAAGAAATTCTATTCTTTGAGAAGACCCTTCTCTTGATAATTACTTTGTTAATTTTCCAATGGAGAATTGTCTTGTTTCAAAGAAAACTATGGTTTCTCTTTTTCATTACTGAACTTTATTTCAATTAATGAAATTCTACTAATTCTGTCCCATTAACCAGTGAGGCCTACAGCTTTCTTTAATCAGTGGTTGTATATGTAGTATCAGTTTGTATCACAAGGCATTTTTTATAGACTGATATTTTATAGTAATTGTAATATATTAAAGAAGGCAGTTTCCATCATCAAAATTTCTAAAGCTTAATACCAGTTTAATACATCCACACTGGGGTTGGAGAGATGGCTCAGCAGTTAAGAGCACTGGCTGCTCTTCTGGAGGTCCTCAGTTCAATTCCAGCACCCACATGGTGGCTCCCAGCCATCTCTAGTGGGATGATGCCCTCTGCTGGCATAAAGTTGTTCATGCAGACAGAGCACCCATACACATAAAATAAACAGATTTTTTTTTTTTTGAAAAAAAGATACATCCACATTATAACCCTGACAGGAAGACAGAGAAGGGTAGCAGATCATTTCCAATGACAGTTTTAAGAGAAGCAAACAAATTCAAAATTCTAATCAAACAAATAAGAAAAAAATCAAAATCATATAAACCCAAATTTAAGGACATTCTTAAAAATAATTAATCAAAATACTTTTAAAATATGAAGAAAAGACCAAGGACCAGAACAGAGGCTGGAGATAACAATGAAATACACCGAAGAATCCTTGGATAGGTGCCCAAAACAGATAAAAAAACAAAACAAAAAACACTGAGGTCACAGGTATAGTTTAGAGGTAAAGCACTTGCCTAGCATGGGAGAGGCCCTGGGCTCGATCCCCAGCACTGCCAAAGAAACAACAAAAAGAAGGATTATTAGTGAAAGACGGAGACTTAGTTGGTATTACTACAATAGTGCTGATTCCCAAAGTTTGACAATCATACTGCAATCATATAAGACATTAATTAAGAGATATCAGGAAAAGGGTATAGGGGACTGCAGTTTTTATAACTTTGCTGTAAATTTAAAATTAGTTCTAAGAGTTCTTGAAGTTTCCCATATAACAGTATCTCATCAAAACACTAAAGGACAGAATGAAGCAATAAAGCTATCAATTTAACAAACTATTTTTATTCTCAAAAAAGAAACTTTTTTTCAAATTCTTCTTTTGTGGAATGACTTTTTAGATTGAGACTTTCTAAGAAAAACATTAAACTATTCACCTGCTCTAAACAAATTATTTTTTTTTGTTTTTTGGGTTTTTTTTTTTTTTTTTGGTTTGTCAAGACAGGGTTTTTCTGTAACTTTGTAGATTGAGTTACCAAATTTTTTGTTGCTGTTTTGCTTTGATTTTTGAGATAAGGTTTTTCTGTAGCTTTGGAACCTGTCCTGGAACTAGTTCTTGTAGACCAGGCCGGTCTCAAACTCACAGAGATCCACCTGCCTCTGCCTCCCAAGTGCTGGGATTAAAACTGGTAGGATTCACCCAGAAGGGTTTCATTTAAATGGACTCCATTCTAGTAACTGAAAACTTATTGAACTAATTTAAACATCTGTTATATGCAATTATCAAAACTCTTTAAAATTAAAAATGAAAATGACTTTAAAGACTTATTTCTCAAATATTGTCAAAAAACATTACCATTCTAAAGATGAACTACAACATCTTTACAGAGAAAGAATGAGAACATTTTAGTGAATTATTATCTCAATTTTATTTTATATTCTATTGGTAGAAACTCCATTAAGAATTTGGTAACTTGCTGGGCAATGATGACGCAAATCTTTAATCCCAGCACTCAGGAGGCAGAGGCAGGCGGATCTCTGTGAGTTTGAGGCCAGCCTGGTCTACAAGAACTAGTTCCAGGACAGGCTCCAAAGCTACAGAGAAACCCTATCTCAAAAATCAAATCAAAACAACAACAACAACAAAAAATTTAGTAACTCAATCTATGTCTATTTATTTCAATTATTATGACTGTGGTACTGAACCCATTCTTTAACTATATTGCTCCTCCAGTCTTTGCATGTTAAAAAGATTGGTCAAGCATTATGCAAATGTTAGTCACTGTTGCATATGGTTATTTACATTGTTCAATATTCATAAAATTAAAAATTCGCTTTTTAGTCTCATTAGGCACAACATACATACAGTCAGTAGCCTCACATGACTATTGTTTAACAAAGACACAGAACATTTAATTGTACCAGAAGGCTCTGCTTGACATTGTCATCCTGCAGGATTTGAACTAGGTTTTCAGTGTCTTCTATTACAGGTTCAATGGTAGCCCAACAACCTAAATTTATATATTGAAGTCCTAACTCGTAAGAGTATCACAGTATGACTGTATCTAGAGATAGGCTTTTAGAGAAGTAGGGTTAAATGAGTTCTTTAGGGTGAACCTAATTCATATGATCAATGTACTTATTAGAAAAGATAGGACCATCTAAGTATATATTTAAAGTAGGTTAGCAACATTTTCCAATTTACCCCAGGATTTTCCAGTGTCTTAGTTATGATTTCTACTGCTACAATGAAGAACCATGATCAAGAGCAAGTTGGGAAGGAAAGGGTTTATTTGGCTTACACTTTTATGTCATAGTCCATCAGTGAAGGAAGTCAGGGCAGGAACTCAAGCAGGGTTGTAACCTGGAGGTGGGAGCTGATGCAGAGGCCATGGAGAGGCCTGTTCCCCATGGCCTGCTCAGTCTTCTTTCTTATAGAACCCAGGACCACTAGCCCAGGGATGGCACCACCCACAATGGGCTGCCCCACCTTTAATTATTAATTAAGAAAAATGCTCTACAAGCTTGCCTATAGTCTGATCTCATAGACGCATTTTCTCAGTGGAGGTTCCTCCCTTCAGATGACTCCAGTATGCATCAAGAAGACATACAACTATTCAGCACTTCCAGTATCTTCAAATTTGCTGACTGTTTAGATTAAGGAGGCTTGAGTTTAGAAAATAACCATAAATTTTCAGTTTACTATGATTAAATCCAGGTAAATATATTTATTCTCTATGTCAACAAAGTAATTATAAAATGTCATGCATGGAATGATACTTGTTTGTGAAAAAGTATTTCTAAGATTCTTGGAAGGCACACACACACACACTCTCCTGCAAGCTCTTTACCACAATCTTCAGTTGCGTAGGTGAACGTTGTGGAATATTACTTTGAGGTGTGTTACTTCTGTTTATGCTGTGGAACATTTGTTTAGCAATGTAAAGATGTGTTGCTTTTGTTTATGCTGTGTTTAACTCAGTGCGGCTGTGATTCTTATCCTGCCTAAAATACCCGATGGTCTAATAAAGGGCTGAACAAATGGTCAATAACGAGGCAGGACAAAGGACAGGTGGGGCTGGCAGGCAGAGAGTAGAAATAGAAGGAGAAAAGAGGGAGGCATGAGATAGAACGAGAAGAGGACTTCCGGGGCCAGGCACCCTAAGCACAAGATACCAGAAGTGGGTAAAAGGATAAACAAATCAAACTCTAATTTAATCCCTAAGCAGAATGACCTAACTCCTATGCTAACATAAGAAAAGAGTCATGCCCAAGTATAGGAGGAAATAGAGTCTGGCTTTCCATATCTATGGACTCAATCAACTACTGGCTGGAAATATTAGGTAGGAAAAACTTATTTTGTCTATACTGAATATAAACATACTTTTCCTCATCATTACTTCCTAAATAACAAAGTGCTAACTATTTATAGAGCATATATACTGCAACAGTCTACTTCACCTACAAGTTAAGTGTATAGTAGGATACATATGTAAACACCACGCCACTTGACATAAAGGACTTGACCCACAGATCTGGGTCTGGGGACAACTACTATAAATTGCTGTTTTTTATGTAATATTTGACATTCAATGAATTATGTGTACCGAAGAGCAATAAATGAAGCCAATGTCAAAAGAGAAAGCAACTCAAGGGTTCTTACTCAGACATGCAGGGCGTACTAAGCAGGGATGGCGAACAGCCCTCTGAGGCTTTACTTGAAAAGGAGACATCAAGGTAGATCAGATTGTGAATTTCAGCAGAGAAATGGAAACTACAAGTAAGAATCAAGCGACAGTGTCAGAATAAAATAGATATAAAGAATGGTTCTGACAGAGTCAGGGAATTTGACATAACTGTAGAAATTATTAGAAACCAGTCTCACTGAAACACAAGTAGAAAAAGGAAACCACAAAACATGAAGGTTAATATCGAACTACCTAACAAAATGTGCTACCGTACTAGTAAAACAGGGTTAAAAAATTATTTTAATTATAAAGGCAGGGGAAAAAATATATAAAGGCTGAAAAATAAAATACCCACTCTCACAACAGGGTTAGTCATGGTAGCCAAATGGCAGAAGCAGCCCTATGTCCTTCAGTGGTTATAGGTACATGTAACGGAAGGAAATTCTGAATGTACTTCAACAGATGAACCACGAGGACATCATGTTACATACAAAAGGCCAACCCCCCAAAGACAAATACCGTATGTCTCCACTCATATCTGAAGCACATAGTCAAGACCAGGGAACACAAAAATGCTGCCAGGGGGTATGGAATTACTTTTTAGTGAGTATTGTATATCAGATTTGCAAAATAAAAAAATAAATTACGAAAAGCCAGTGGGGTTGACTGCAAAAGAGCACAGACAACTATAGAACAGAGAACCTAGTGTTTGTTTACAAATGTATAAACTACTAAAATGTATACAAATTTACACATTAGAAAGGGGAAATGCCACTGTATGTAGCTCCTTTAACAAAGTTATGCAACTACCAAAAATACAATGAAAAGCTTTCTATGTGCTTTTGTATGTCCTTTCTGTGACCCTACGATGACATAATTGGAGGAACTGGAAGGACTTTCTTCAGCTTGGCAGACCTGTCTCAGAACTGTCCTACCAGCTCTGCTTTCCTGGCATGGGAAGAGACTGGGTGGGTAGGAAGCAGAGCAGCTGTGCTAGCGGAGAGGAACTGGAGACGGTGATAAGAAACAGAAGGGGAGAAGGAGTAAAGCAGCAGGGATACGCAGAAGGAAAGCGACACCAAGGCACAGAGCAAGTGGCTGGGGTGGTGAGATACTGAAGTAAAGTCACAGAAATGGGAGAGAAAAAATTAAAGGCACCCAGTCTCTTAATGTGCTTTTATTTCCAAGAGTATGTTCCAATGTACTGAGTGGTAAGCCTCGACACAGTCACGCTGTCTCGGGGATTTTCATTAATCTTTTCTTACTCTTCAGAGCCCCCCCAACACTGCACAGTGCACAAGGCCACAGACCACCAGACCAAAGACTCGGGTAGCCTGGAATGAGCACAACAGGGGAAGAGTTCAATATTTAGATTTTATGTTTTTACGTTTTCTTCCTTACTGTCTTATGTGTATAATACATGTACATCTGTGCACCACTTACAGGAAGTGCCCAAGGAAGCCAGAGGAGGTACGGGATCCCATGGAACTGGAAGTACAGCGAGCTAGGATGCTAAGAATCAAACTAGGGTCCTCTGAAGAGCAGTCACTGCTCTTAATTGTCGGGCCACCTCTCCAGCCCCCAGTGACTACATTTTCTTATGCTGATATAAAGGTAAATGAATGCATGATCTATAAGTTATTTGCCTACTAACCAAAATTTATCACACAGTAAATCTGTGTTGTTCAGAGAACGTTCCTATTTCCTCCGAGCTGCTTCTTGGATCACTGCATTTCTAAAGAACAGTGAAAAACAAATTAGTGTGTGCTTATCAATCTTTGTTTTCCTCCTGTAGCCATGCACATATTCCTTTGGCTACTAAGTATGTAAATGCCTCTATTAAAATGACTTACATAATTTCAACTTCTATA